CAAGAAGGAGATCTTGGAGTCATTGTGGATAGTTCTCTGAAATCATCCACTCAATTTGCAGAAGCCGTCAAAAAAAAAACCACCAGAATGTTGGGAATCATCGAGAAAGGGATAGATAATAAGACAGAAAATATCATATTGCCTCTTTATAAATCCATGGTCTGCCCACACCTTGACTATTGCGTGCACATGTGGTCGTCCCATCTCAAAAAAGATATATTGGAATTGGAAAAGGTTCAGAAAAGGGCAACAAAAATTATTAGGGGTATAGAGCGGCTTCCGTATGAGGAGAGATTAATAAGACTGGGACTTTTCAGCTTGGAAAAGAGGCGACTAAGGGGGGATATGATAGAGTTCTATAAAATCATGAGTGGTTTAGAGAAAGTAAATAAGGAAGTGTTATTTGCTCCTTCTCATAATACAAGAACAAGGGGCCACCAAATTAAATTAATAGGTAGCAGGTTTAAAACAAACACAAGAAAGTATTTTTTCACACAACACAGTGTCAACCTCTGGAACTCCTTGCCAGAGGGTGTTGTGAAGGCCAATACTATAATGGGGTTCAAAAGGGAGTTAGATAGATTCATGGAAGATAGGTCTATCAATTGCTATTAGCCAGGATGGGCAGGAATGGTGTCCCTAGCCTCTGTTTGCCAGAAGCTAGGATTGGGTGACAGACAGGACATGGATAACTTGATGATAACCTGTCTGTTCACTCCCTTTGGGGCACCTGCCATTGGCCATTGTCAGAAGACAGGATAGTGGACTTAATGGACCTTTGGTCTGACCCAGTATGGCCATTCTTATCTTCTTATGTTCAGTTGGGGCAATCTAGACAAGGGGTGTGAAGGTAACAAAGTCCAGGTACCTTCTGGCACAATCAGGGTATGCATGTATCCTACTCTTAGGGCCTCCAGCCCTGGGTCCTAGGCTGCTTCATATTCAGCCTTCCCTTCATAGCCTGCTCCCAGGCTGCTGTCTGTGTCAGACCTGCTGCTCATCCTTTCACGAAGCATTTCTACCTGTCTCGGAGTCTCATCCCCCAAGTAGCACTTCTTTCTTGCGCTGGAGGGATCATGGAGCCCTCTCCTGGATAGATGGTGAATTGAGAGGTAAAAATGCCCAGTAATGAGCCAGCAGGTGCATTACAATAGCTTGTTTTTCTCAATATCACCTTTCCAGATTTCTAACAAAAAATCCCAGTGCAGCCACACCAGAGCTATAGAGAAAAGAATGATCACCCCCCCAGCCTTTTAAACCTTTTATACTGGCAAATTGCAAAAGAGATCTCATTTGCAGCCTTCTACACACTCCAGTCTCTTTCAGAATTATTGCCTGAGGAGTTTCTCCCTCCCATTAAATGCTGGATCATTTTTCACCAGATGTAGTATCTTGCATTTTTCCAAGCTGAACCTACCCTTGTTACTATGTTTCTAATCATTCAGAGGTCCCTTTATATTAATTTTCTCTCCTTGTTAGTATTTGAAATCCCTCTCAGTTTAGTATTTGCTCTGAGTTTCTGTCAAGGTATTTATATTGCACTCACCACTGTCTCTGTCTAATTTAATTAGCATACTGCTTATATGATGTTCTGACTAGTGGAGATGTTCTTACTATGAAGGTGTTAAAAGACTGGACCCAATATTGATCCCTGCTATACTCCAGTAAACACCTTCCCCCAATTCATTACGCTGACACTTTTGTTATTTCCCTTTGCTTACGTCTTTCATCCACTTGTCCATCAAAATGAGAACATTTCTATCCCAATATTTTCATTATTTTTTTCAAGTAAGATTTTAGGAAACTAAAATCCTGATATGTTAAATCCCGGGGAGCAGCCATGGTCTAATCAATAGAGCACATAGGAATCTGGAGATCTTATAGCCAGAAAATTGGGGCTGTTTCCAACAAGGTGGGGAGCATAAAAAGCGGAGGGGCCCTGACAAAGAAAACCCTGCTAGCAGCTCTCATTTTATGTTGAGGGAGGTCAAGCATCTCTGCTGAATTCAGCTGTGGTCATATGGCGAAAGGAGAGTGGCAGTTTCACGGATAGGCAGGTCACAAGCTCTTTAGAGATCTGGGCCCCAATCTTGGAGTTTTACACACATTTAAAGTTAGGCATGTGTGTGAGACCCCAGCCTCATGTCAAACTCACACAAACTCAATTTGGAAACTCACAGTCACCCAGTGCAGATTGGCTCTTCTTGTGCACCCCTCTATATTCATGGTGAAGGACAAATGTTTATTATAAGAGTCACCAAAGCCATAGTCTGCCGGAGAACAAGTATCTCACTCTTTTTTCCTCTGATATATTGGTAAAAGCCCTTGCTGACCACATTACAACACCTTTGGTCCCTCATTTCTTCTGAATCAAACTTTAGTGTTAGTGTTAGAAATCACTCTTTTAATATTTAATGCAATTTAATGGTTGCAACATTCATATTAATAATAAACATGCAAACTCAAAAGGAGGAAAGAATGTTGCTTGAATACCAAAAAGATGGCATCTCCTGGTTGGAAATGGAATTGTAGCACTTTAATTCAGTGTGGCCTTCTGGAGCGCAGGTCTGGGTGTCAGAAGATCAGAGACCTACTTCTGCTTTCAGTTACACCATTCTAAATCCGGTGGAACTCCATCTAAATCAAGGGATCAGAGTGATTTCAGAATGAATCACTTTGGTTCTGTTTCCAGCTCTGACATGGACCTGCTTGAGATCTTGGGTGTGTCAATTAACAGATATTTCCAAATCCAAAAATGTGGATAACTGTATTCACACCCCAAGCTCTCTTACAGAAGTGTCGTAAGTAGAGCTGTGGGGGAAGAGGATTTTCCTTCCCATGAAAAATGTTGAGATTTTGAATTTTTTTACTTTCCGAATTGGAACAAAACAAAAATCAGGAATACCTTGACGTTTTTCATGGGAAGGGAAGAGAAGGTTGGAAAAATACTGTTTTGGGAGAACTGACATGGAAATGTTTCACCTTGCCAACTGTGTGCCTGGTAGGTAGGTGGACAAATATCTGGCTCACAAGGCTCCATGACCGCATATCTGGTGGGCAGGCAGGCTTCCAAGCTCCCTGTTTCATCAATATCCCAAGCTTCCCAGGAGCCAGGTAGTCTGAGGAGCCAGCCAGCAAGAGAGCCAGGGAGCCCTGGCAGCTGGAGAAAGCAGCTCCCTGGCTGCCCACCTGGCAACCAGCTGGGGAACAAGGGATCCCACTAGTCAGCGCAGGCTGCAGAGGAGCCAGAGAACCTGGAAGCACTGAGAGCCCCAGCAAACATTCTGCCTTGGGGAGACAGTTCCTGCCAGAGCTCCTGGACAGGCAGAAGCTGCACAGTCACTAATACTCCCATTTGTGAGGTGCAGTTTTCTAACTGCACATGGGGACTAAGCCATTGTATATGGGCGGGGTGGAGTCTGGTGGGGTTCCCAAGGAGTCTGGGAGCTGCAGAGCCTCGGAATAATTTTCTGATGGGGGTAGTGGGGAGAAGAGGGAAACAAGATTTTCCTTCAAGATTTTGTGGAAGTTTAGTTTTCCATTAGAAAAAATTCAGATGGAAAAATTCCAACCGGCTCTCTAACTGTAAGGTTTACTTCATTAAATGTTTATAAAGCTCTGAGATCCTAGAATGGAATATATCATCAAACCACAAAATATTTGAGTTAGGTTATTGTGGTATATCACAATTATGCCTTGATTGGTAAGTGCTTGAAATTTCAGAGACCATATCTACATAAGTATTTTTAAGGTGGAAACCTTGTCACCATATACAAATAATAGAAAGGCAGCAGGACAGAGTTATTGGTGCAATAGGGACCATTCCTTGGAATTTCTTGCATATAGCTGATCAGCCATTACACTGTGTTAATCTAGGAGTTTGCATGTTTGTTTGTTTTGCAATAGTCTGTATATCTTTGTTATTGAATTTCAAAATATTTGTGCATAAGCTCTCAAAGTGGTAGCACTAGCCAGCATTTCAGGTTTTAACAACATATTGACTTCCTGTTTCCTGCCAAGTCCCTACCTGGTAACCTTAGGGTATGGTCCAAGGTCCACTTCTCCAATCTAAAAATGTGCTGTCTTATTACAAGTTAGTCATGTATGTTAGATATAAGAGAAACTCTGTTTACCGTTGTAAGGGTGCTAGTGAGTCTCTCTTGTAGAAAACTTAGCCTCCTGAAATTTTCTAATTGAAGATACCAGTTTCAGTCTGCTGCCACTAGATAGGAAATCCACTGAGAAATCATGCTACTGAATGAAGATTTAAAATATAGTTGTGTGGATGATAGGCCTAATATTAGACATGCTTCATTCTGACTCCAGTGGATAGGGTTCTGGCCTGTTCAGTCATGTCAATGAGGGCCTCTCAGGGTATGAACTTGCAGAAGGAGGCTGCAATGAACCAAATATATACACATTTAATTTAAGATAATTCCACATTAATTGAGGCCAAGGTCAAGGCATCATGAAACAAGTCCAAGATAGGGTAATAACACAGCCTGTCCACTTTTTGCTCTGTATCTGACTTGCAAGACATATAGTAGTATTGCAATGCTGCTAAACAACACCATGATATTGTATTCTCAGGCATGATACACCACCATTCTGACACTCTCACAATATGGACACAGCAAAATTTGTAGACACAAAGGGCCCACTCTTGCTCCCATTCAAGTCAATGGCAACATTTTCCTTGATTTAAATGGGAGCAAGATCAGATCAGTAGATGTTAAGGCCAGAACAAAACACTTTTGAGTCTGATCTCTATGACACAGGCAACAGATTTCACCCAGCGATCCCAGCATGGAGTACAACAACCAGGGCCCTCCCTAGCAATTATGGTGCCCTAGTCAGACTGAGCACCTGGGCACCGCGGAGGGTCTGAGCTGAGCTCAAGGCCTGCGGGGCTGGGGAGGCAGGAGCTGCGGAGGGCCGTTTTGGGGGGGTGCCACAGGCCCAGAGTGGCCCGGGGATTAACTGGGGGCTTGGGTCCGGCAGCAGGAAGCGCCCCAGCCGTGTCACTCGGGTGAGCTGGGGAAAGGACCGCCCCCTGCACTCCCCGGTGGCGGGAAGTGGAGCGATCCCGGCCCCAGCCTGCTCCGCTTCCCCCGCCCCGGCCCCAGCCGTGTTGCTTGGGTGGGCGGGGGGCAGGAGCGGCCCCCGCACTCCCCAGCAGCGGGAAGCGGAGTGACGCGGCCGGCGGAGTGGAGCAGGCTGGGGTCGGGTTGCTCCATTTCCCGCCGCTGCTGGTGAGTGCGGGGTCCAGCCCGGCCCCTGCTGCCGGCGCAGGCTCCCTGCTAGTCCCCCAGGCTGCGTCCGTCGCGGGGGGAAGAGGCCGGGCGCGGGGAAGAGGAGGAATGGGGGCGGGCCGGGGGCGGAGCGCGGGGGAAGACTAAGCGGCGGGGTGGAGGGAGTTGTCCCAGGCCCCACACACCCCGGTGGGCGGCCCTGCCCCTTGCAGTGGGCACAGCCCGCGGCGTGGCTGGCCGGGGTTAGGGCTGGCCGCCGGAGCTGCCGCCGCAAATGCAGCAGACAGCGGCCTAGGGCACCATGAAATCGGGGGCAATTTGGTGCCCCAAATTTCATGGTGCCCTACGCAGCTGTGTATACGGCGTATGTCTGGGGATGGCCCTGACAACAACTAGTGGTTGGCACATCAAAAGGCTCATCGTAGATTGGTTCTACCTTTTTAGGATGTATGACAAAGATGTATATTGGGATGAGACAAGCCTGTTTGACTGACCAATATGTGGTCTCCTTTGGCCCCACCTCCCACCCCCAAAAGGCCATCAAGTGCCCTTAACAGAATATAGGGGCTTAACTATGGGCCTGATCCTGAAGACACTTACATATGTTACTTTTACTCACATGAGCAGTCTCATTGCTTAAAATTATTCCCATACCTAAGTACTGTTGTGTCTATTGGTCTTTTCACAAAAGCAATATGAAGAAAACACATGGGCTCAGTTGGGTCTCAAGTAACTGTTTACTAATGACAGGTTTCAGAGTAGCAGCCCTGTTAGTCTGTATCCAGAAAAAGAACAGGAGTACTTGTGGCACCTTAGAGACTAACAAATTTATTAGTCTCTAAGGTGCCACAAGTACTCCTTTTCTTTTTATGTTTACTAAATATACACAAACATGCAAAGCCTATCTACATATATATTACTGCTCTGCCTGGCTCCTGTCAACTTCTAAAAACAGAACAAGGTGAGCACCAGGTAAGAGCCTGCAAACTATTTAGAGGGATACTACCCTATTTCAATAGACCATATACTCCTCCTTCAATGTAAAAGGATATATAAAAAATTACAAATCCATTATTATTAAAACTATTATCTCTAAATATATAACATACTACAAATGAAGGCTTCTCACTGGATACGTCTCATAGGCATCAGAACAACATCAGGAAAAGCATTTGCACTTTCTGGTGTAGCTGTATCGGCAATGTCTTCCTGCTCTGTAGTGTAGGATTCATTTATGGAAACAGGGACATGAGACTCACTGACTATCACAAGTCATTGTCTGTGGCTGTATTGTAGTCTTGGTCTTTTCAGTAGGTGTCAGTAGTGGAGAATCTCCTCTGGAACTTATGTTTAAAAGCTTATGTGTAAAAACATAAGAACGGCCATACTGGGTCAGACCAAAGGCCCATCTAGCCCAGTATCCTGTCTTCCAACAGTGGCCAATGCCAGGTGCCCCAGAGGGAATGAACAGACCAGGTAATCATTACATCAAGTGATCCATCCCCTATCGCCCATTCCCATCCTCTGGCAAACAGAGGCTAGGGACACCATCCCTGCCCATTCTGGCTAATAGCCATTGATGGACCTATCCTCCATGAATTTATCTAGTTCTTTTTTGATGCCTGTTATAGTCTTGGCCTTTACAACGTCATCTGGCAAAGAGTTCCACAGGTTGACTACATGTGTGAAGAAACACTTCCTTTTGTTTTAAACCTGCTGCCTATTCATTTCATTTGGTGACCCCAGTTCTTGTGTTATGAGAAGGAGTAAATAACACTTCCTTATTCACTTTCTCCTTACCAGTCATGATTTTATAGACCTCAATCATATCCCCCCCGTAGTCATCTCTTTTCCCAGCTGAAAAGTCTCAATCCTATTAATCTCTCCTCACATGGAAGCCATTCCATACCCCTAATAATTTTTGTTGCCCTTTTCTGAACCTTTTCCAATTCCAATATATCTTTTTTTTAGATGGAGCGACCACCTCTGCATGAAGTATTCAAGATGTGGGTGTACCATGGATTTATATAGAGGCAATATGATATTTTCTGTCTTATTATCTATCCCTTTCTTAATGATGCCCAACATTCTGTTTGCTTTTTTGACTGCTGCTGCACATTGAATGGATGTGTTCAGAGAACTATTCACAATGACTCCAAGCTCTCCTTCTTGAGTGGTAACAGCTAATTTAGACCCCATCAGTTTATATGTATAGTTGGGATTATGTTTTCCAATGTGCATTACTTTGCATTTACCAACACTGAATTTCATCTGCCATTTTGTTGCTCAGGCACCCAGTTTTGAGAGATCCTTTTGTGGCTCTTTGCAGTCTGCCTGGGACTTAACTATCTTGAGTAATTCTGTACCATCTGCGAATTTTGCCACCTCACTGTTTACCCCTTTTTCCAGATCATTTATGAATATGTTGAATAGGACTGGTCCTAGTACAGAACCCTGTGTGACACCACTATTTACCTCTCTCCATTCTGAAAACTGACCATTTATTCCTACCCTTTGTTTCCTATCTTTTACCCAGTTACCAATCCATGAGAGGACCTTTCCTCTTATCCCATGACAGCTTACTTTGCTTTAGAGCCTTTGGTGAAGGACCTTGTCAAAGGCTTTCTGAAAATCTAAGTACACTATATCCACTGGATCCCCCTTGTCCAAATGCTTGTTGACCCCCTCAAAGTATTCTAGTAGATTGGTGAAGCATGATTTCCCTTTACAAAAACCATGTTGACTATTCCCCAACAAATTATGTTCATATGTATGTCTGACAATTTTGTTCTTTACTCTTGCAGCAGAGTTTTTGCTTTCATATATTTTAAGGTTCCAGTACCATCCTGAAACACATCAGCTGCCTTTTCCAACAGTTCAGCTATTTTTTTTGGTTTTGACCAGAGCCCATAATTTTAAAAATCTGAATCTCTCTGCCATTCTCTATCAAGTATCACATGACTCCCTGACTTCACAACATAGAAGTTTGGCCTATGCTGTTTACAGTTAGATGTTACCTTCATTATAATAATGTCCAGGAGAATGAAGATTTCTCATGTATGTCTATTCAGAAACATTATGGTTTACAAAAGAAAAGGAGTACTTGTGGCACCTTAGAGACTAACAAATTTATTTGAGCATAAGCTTTCGAGAGCTACAGCTCACTTCATCGGATGCATTCATTTTTTTCCACTGAATGCATCCGATGAAGTGAGCTGTAGCTCACGAAAGCTTATGCTCAGATAAATTTGTTGGTCTCTAAGGTGCCACAAGTACTCCTTTTCTTTTGCGAATACAAACTAACATGGCTGCTACTCTGAAAACTATGGTTTACTGCATCTTTACCTCTAAATAGTCTCGATAGTTCTGTTGTGTAATTGCCTCTATAGCAAGATCCTATATCAAGATAGATTTTAAGTTTTATTGCCTTCACTTATAAATAAATGCCAAAACCCCTTTGGTGACTGTTTTCAACATGAAACATCTGTATAGATGCTACAACATTCTCAGTGAACTCCACATTCATCAGCTTGTAGAGGACAATCAGAAATCCTCTGGTATTGCCCTCCTGAGCTGGTGATTTTGCTTTTTGCACTGACCTGAACATTTGCTGCGTACAACCCCAATTTGTTAGGGTTTGTACAGAGCTTGTTCTTGAACTAGCAATAATGTTCATTGTGAGACTGTTCCCTTCAACAAAAGCACAGTCTTTGAGTGTTCTTTGTGTTATTTATGCTTGACCCCAGTTTATTTACTGTACAGACCACTTGCTACTGTTGTAGCTGCCTGGCATATTTAGTACTGTTTTCATTGACACAGCAATTACCAGTGTACAATTTAGGGTCAAATCAATTTCAGTAAATAACCATTTTGGGTTGCTTCATTTAGCATACCACCTACTAATCTGCCCCTTAATGCATCATTAAATGATCTCCAAATTGGCACTGCTGTTAGTTTCTTAATTTAGCCACATTCAAAAGTTGTTTCACTCTTTTTTATATTCTGTTTATAGAAGCAGAAATGCTCTGTAGTCACTAGTGGCTTTGGATATAGGGTGTGAGGAAGACAGCTCTGACAAGTGTCTTCTCAGTGCTCTGGGTATATTATTCTTCAGTTGTCTCATTGCAGAAGCCTGCCAGTCTCTCTCATGCTCTGCACAGATCAAGGGAAGGGAACTGAAGCCATTAGGCCATTTCCCTGCTTTTCCCACAAACCAGAGAAGGTGGCAGCCAGGAGTTGTGGACAGGAGGACTGGCTGCCACTAACCACCACTGCTGAGCTACTGATCACATGTTAACTCTTCCAAGATAAGCAGGTGAGACCTACATTTTGCATTGCTCAATTACTGAATCACCTGCATTTGAGGGCCTGATTCTCTGCTCCAGTGCAGCCACTTTGTGTCCCTTTAGTAGCATAAAGGGGCCATAAAGTTGGAGAATCTGGCCAACTGGGAATTCCATCTCTATGTGGGGAATCCCCAGATGGCACAGCGTAGTGTATTTACAGTTCAGCTATTCCCAGGTGCCTGAATGGCCTGTTATGGCTGGGGGTAGCTGGGCATAAGCATTAGCAGTTTTGAACTGGCTCTAACTTATATCTGGGCTGGATCAGCCTCTGGCCTGCCCCAAAATCAGGGAGCTACAAAAGTGATGTGAAGCTACTTTAGTCCCCGTCACTTCTTGGGACTTCTGTGCTGAGCACAACTCATCTCTTACCAGTACTCTTGAGCATCACATGGTGTCAGAAGCAAAATCTTTGTAAAAATGGAGCTAAGACAACCACCTTTATTTCTCAGTCTGGAAGATAACCGCACCAGAGAACTAGGGGGGGAAGTAATTGCAGTGCTTCAAGCCCATATTTCATAACTGTTATAATAGAGGGAATCACAGTCTTTCTTAAACAGAAGATGTTTATTAGAGAACACAGCTACAACTACAGACATAAGCACAGCTTGAGTCCCAGCTTTCTCGCCGTTATTTACCAAAGACCATAACCTGCCAGGAACTCCATGCAGCACACATCTAATATCATCTAGATAAAGGCAGTATGGTGCAGTGGTTAGGACACGACCTTGGAGACCTGGGTTCAATTCCCTGGTTTTCTGCAGACACCCGGTGCGACCTTGTGCAAGTCACTTAGGAATCTGTGCCACAGATTCCTTTCTGTAAAATGGGGATAATAGCACTTCCCTATCTCACAAAGGTGTGGTGAGGCTAAATGCATTAAAACATTATGAGGTGCTCAGATATTATGGTAAAGGGGGCCTCTTACAGGGTTCACCGCTGGTCTGGTGCTTCCTCCTGGTCACACTGAGGATTACATCTTGAGGTAGACACTCCCTTCTGCCGTTTGTATGCCATTGTTCTAATGCTGGTCTGCAGCATCTCTCACTCCAAGACCCTCATCAATGTCCTTCATGACTTAGGCCACCAGCTAGGTCACTGGGCATTCCTCATTCCAGCGTACAGGCTATCAGCAGTCCTAGGCAGTCTTCCCATTCACTGCCTCAATTCTATGTCATATCCTCAATAACTGGTAGGGGAACACAGGCCCACCCTTTACACTGGATTCCCATCTAGGGACGCTCAGCAGTTCTGGGCTCTACCCACTCAGCCCTCACTACCCCATCCCAGGACTTCTTCCTGGTTCCCCCCCTTCCCTGGGAATACCAACTCTAAACACTCCTCCCTCTTCCCAAGGTGTGACTGCCCTTTCTGAGCAGGGGTCCCTGTCTGTGGCTTTATACAGTCCGCACCTGTTCCTGCACAGCTGAGCCTGCTTTCTAATTAGCTGCCTGCATCCTAAAGCTCCCCTGTTTGCAACCTAATTAGCTGATTGGGCCCACCTGGCCCAACTCATCTCTTGCAGGGTTAGTGTGGGGAGCTCACCCCATCAGAGGCCCATGTAAGTACCTTAGATAGATAGAATCATTGCAATATCACTTATAACAATAATCTGTCTCACAGGAGACATCTCACCAGGACCAATGCCACTGGCTCTGTATGTCTTCATGAAATCTAGAATGCTGCTGGCTGTACTGCCAGAAACAGTAAAAGCCCACACAATCACTACAATGAAAAACACAGGCTCCAGGGGGAAACAGACTATTTCAGTAGGAAGTGTTTTGAGAACAAGAGGTGGCTGTTATCAGAAAGTCACTGAGTTTCAATGATAGTGGTTATTAATAGATGTCTACCAATCGTCGCATCTGCTGGGGAGGTGGTGAGTTGGATCAGTTAATCTACCCTAACCTTCATTCTAGAGGTTTTATTTGTGTACTTTATAGGGCTGTCGATTAATTGCAATTAACTCATGTGATTAAGTCAAAAAAATTTACTGCGATTAAAAAAATTAATCGTGATTAATCGCACTGTTAAACAATAGAATACCAATTGAAATTTATTAAATATTTTGGATGTTTTTCTACATTTTCAAATATATTGATTTCTATTACAGCACACAATACAAAATGTACAGTGCTCATTTTATATTTTTTATTACAAATATTTGCATTGTAAATGATAAACAAAAGAAATAGTATTTTTCAGTTCACCTCATACAAGTACTGTAGTGCAATCTCTTTATCGTGAAAGTGTAACTTACAAATGTAGATTTTTCTTGTTACATAACTGCACTCAAAAACAAACAATATACAATTTTAGAGCCTATAAGTCCACTCAGACCTAATTCTTGTTCAGCCAATTGCTAAGACAAACAAGTTTGTTTACATTTATGGGAGATAATGCCGACTGCTTCTTATTTACAATGTCACCTGAAAATCAGAACAGGCATTCGCATGGCACTTTTGTAGCCAGCATTGCAAGATATTTACATGTCAGATATGCTAAACATTCATATGCCCCTTCATGCTTCGGCCACCATTCCAGAGGACATGCTTCCATGCTGATGATGCTCATTAAAAAAAAATGCGTTAATTAAATTTGTGACTGAACTCCTTGGGGAGAATTGTATTGTCTCATGTTCTGTTTTACCCACATTCTGCCATATATTTCATGTTATAGCAGTCTCGGATGATGACCCAGGACATCTTGTTCATTTTAAGAACACTTTCACAGCAGATTTGACAACACCCAAAGAAGGTGCCAATGTGAGATATCTAAGGAAAGATACAGCATTCAACCCAAAGTTTAAGAATCTGAAGTACCTTCTAAAATCTGAGCGGGACGAGGTGTGGAGAATTCTTTAAGGTGTCTTAAAAGAGCAACACTCCGATGCAGACAGAACCCGAATCACCAAAAAATAAAATCAGCCTTCTGCTGGTGGCATCTGACTCAGATAATGAAAATTAACGTGCATCGGTCTGCACTGCTTTGGATTGTTATCAAGCAGAACTCATCATCAGCCTGGACACATGTCTTCTGGAATGATGGCTGAAGCATGAAGGGATATATGAATCTTTAGCGCATCTGGCATGTAAATATCTTGTGATGTCGGCTACAACAGTGTCATGTGAATGCCTGTTCTCACTTTCAGGTGATATTGTAAACAAGATGTGGGCAGCATTATCTCCTGCAAATTGTAACCATACTTGTTTGTCTGAGCGATTGGCTGAACAAGAAGTAAGACTGAGTGGACTTGTAGGTTCTAAAGTTTTACATTGTTTTATTTTTGAATGCAGTTATTTTTGTACATAATTCTACATTTGTAAGTTTAACTTTCATTATAAAGAGATTGCACTAGAGTACTTGTATTAGGTAAATTGAAATATACTATTTCTTTTGTTTTTTACAGTGCAAATATTTGTAATAAAAATAAATATAAAATGAGCACTGTACACTTTGTATTCTGTGTTGTAATTGAAATTAATATATTTGAAAATGTAGAAAACATCCAAAAATATTTAAATAAATGGTATTCTATTATTGTTTAACAGCGTGATTAATCGCGATTAATTTTTTTAATCGCTCGACAGCCCTAGTATTTTATTAATTGGTTGTACTGGGTTGTGGAGAGTGGTTTTGGTTTCTTTGTTTTGTTGCATTTGATTTTTTTTTAAAGGAAGTTGTACAATAGATAGCAGCCACTGGTATCACTAGCAAGTGACCCCTTTCATGTGGGAAGGTATGACTGTTAATAACTTTGAACTGTCATATGATTGGAACCAGGAAATAAAAACAAGTCTCTTACCAGTACTGCCACATTATTACACTGTTATTACACCAATCAATCCATTTTTATATTGAGTTTTAACATACAGAAAATTTCAACACATGCAAACATTTCTAACAGTGGGGACAAGGATTGGACAAGTATCAAGGATAGGAATCAAATCTCCATTTTAGCTTAGGGACCATCCCTTTTTGTGCCTAAATCGTCCAAACAAGAACATTTCTGAATAGTTAGCAAAAACATGACACTAGTTATGAGCCGCCCACTATAACCTTTCAACAAAGCATAATAAATGATTCATAGTGATATGAACTCCTCTGACACAATGCACGGCCAAGACAAATATTATGGTACAGTATGTTACACTTGATTAAAAGGAATGTTTTGGTACTTAACATTTGACAAGTATTTGCATAAAGGAATTGTGTCAAGCTTTGCATATGATCGAGAAAACTTTAAAAAATAATTTCCCCCCAAAATGAGTGTTTACAGCCCTGTTTTCCTTTTACTTCCCTTCCCATCTGGCACAGGGCAGCCTACATCGACATGCTTGTTTTAAGGCACCCATCACTATAGTACATAACTGTACATTATGTTCCAGACTCACATAAAGTGGGCCACACTTTTCACTTCCCCTTCCTCCACTATCACTGCATTACTAATGTAAGGAGGAGATATTCCTAGGTGGAGGCCACCCAGAAGGAAATTGCCAGGTTGATTTGGAAGCTTTGTTAGTTGCCAACTTCATCAAAGAGATGGGTCTTGTTGCAAGTGATAAGGTTTTGGCTCAGTGAGCAACAGGAGCGAATTCCACAGTCACAGGAATAGACTCTCAATTCAGAAAACTCTGACCCAGCCCCGCAAATTCCACCCTGGGGAATTCCTCAGATGAAGTGAGCCTAACAATTTCAGATGCTGTGGTGGGGCCCAGAGGGAGGGACAGTTTTGCGATTGTGAGACCCCTGATTGTGAGATTGTTAGGATAAATAAGACCCAAGACCTTGAATGGCTTATGGCACTAAAACTGAATTTATACCTTTTAGCATTTTATAAGTTTAGGCAAGAAAATATCTTCATTCTGAAGTATTAAAACCTCCCATGAATAGTCAAACATTACAAGAAATTATGCCCTGTTCATCTTTTCATTGGATTAATTTAGACTGCAACACATGGAATGACCATGACTGGCCTATAACAAAATATATGATACCAGAAGACTTTAAGATGTGAGAGAGAGGCCTAAAGCAAGGGGCGTTCACCAAATAAAGATGGAAGCTTGAAATGAGGCTGGACTTGTAAAAATGCCAGTCCATTAATTTATTTTGCATAGACTTTCATGTCTTTTTTTTCAGACAAAAACTGAAGCTCATGGCAGTCTACAAATCTAAATTCCCCAGTAATTGGCTGGATGCTATAGCTTCAGAGATACCATACACTATGCATAATAAAGCAGGCCTGGAACTGCCACTGTTTTATTGTATAATGTTCAGAATAATACACAGAGACTCCTTTTACATCTCTTAACTTCGCAGCTAACAGTTCATCACCAAGCAATGCGCATTTCACAGCTGCTTTATATTTTTTGTCTATCAGTAGCTGTTGGTATCCCCTTCTGTGATCACAAATTATGGTTTCCCAATGATAGGATATATTTAACAAAGGGGATGGTAAAGTGAAATCTTCTGTATGTACAACTGATAGCTAGAATTCAGTGAGAATGAGACCTCACACCATGTCATCTATGCTGCTTACACCACATTATCATTCGTGTTCACCAGAGTAATACTTCTTTTGCTCCTTGTAACTGCTGCTTGCATGCAGTGTAACGTTTGCATGTTTTACACTTTCATTCCAGGAAGTGTGCTGCCTGAACAGGACTCTGCTAATGAAAAATGAGGCTTTCAGCTTCTGATCTGCCGTGTAACTGCCAGAAATGTAGCCTTGACATGCTGACAAAGCCCCATCTTGCAGCTCTTCCCAGAAAAACTCCTGTTGAAGTCAAAGGAAGTTCTGAACAAGGCCTTGACTAAAGGCTTCAGAGTGAGATGCAAGTTTATGCTCTTGCCAGATTTAGTCCTTAAATATGTATTCATTGGGAAATGCTTTATTGTTTTATTAAAGGGAATTAAAGTGTTACAGAAAATAGCAAACATAACCCCACCGCACATGAGAAGAATAGAGCCGAAATTCTGCATGTGCATAATCAAGCAATGAAGTTAAAAAGTGTGTAATATCAGAAAAACTGGAGCCAATAGTGTAAACAATTATCTATCTGCTTAATCTTTAAACAGAATGTATTGATTTCATACAAAAATGTATTACAGCAATTGATTAATTTCCTTTAACAGATCAGTTTCCTACTGCCTACAGTACTTGCACTGGATATCTGTACCTACTAGTCACAAGTTCATTTTTTTAAAAATCAGGTATTAACCTAAAGTCTGCATTCAATTTCTACTTAAATTTCTATTTATGGAATGGGCTGTGGATTCTCTTAAAAGATCTATTTCACTTATGAGTGTCCCACTTTCTGGAGTGGTTCATGACCATGAGTGCCAACCTCAGGGCAGACTGTCAAGAAGCCGAGCAGAGATCCCAAACTGGTTGTATGTTCTATAATTAGATTTCACTAACCCAGTAACAAGTGTGAACTCCTAAAGCACTGTAACAGTTTACCGTGGAGTCACAGACAGTCCCCTTGGGTATTCCAGTCTATCCTGCCACCAGGCAAGCTGGACTTAGTGATAGATGGTTGCTCTACACTAAAGATAACAAAATATTCAGGTTGCTTCCAGTCCCAAGAGAGCAGTCACTTACTCCATGTCAAATTGTACCTTAGATCTCTCACCAAAGAAAATGCTTATAGTCAATCCTGTAATAAACTAACTCAAGATTTATTAACTAATAAAATGAAAAATGAAATGAGAGTGTTATTACAAGGTTAAAGCAGGCAAACATATATACACAAATGAGTTACAGTCAGAATGTCTGTATGTCTTTTTTTTGTCTTCTGAATGTCTTTTAAGGCTAACCCAGATTGACCCCAGGGATCTCTGCTTCTGTTTTGTAGCTCTAGCCCTGTGAAAGTCCAAATAGCAAAAGACAGCGGAAAATTTTCCTGATCAGCTGTTTTTATTTCCTTCTCCCAAATTTCAAGCAGATAAGAAGAGCCCTTTTGCACTTTCTTCATGGGTGTGAAAGGGCAATTAGCAAAGTTTTTGTATTGTTATGTCCCACAATGGCCCATTTAGTTTTGATAGGCCTTCTTGATGGTTAAAAGACAATCCCGCCTAACTGTGTTCACAGTTTCAGAGCAAACATTTTTTACAGTTATAAAGCTGAAACTTAAATATTACCTTATAGCATGTGATAAAAAAACATTGTAAGTGAGATTAATGCATGCAGAAACTGACAAGCATTTCATAAAGTCTAAACACTAAACATACTGTTATAAGTTCAATGCTCATCTTAACATTACTAACACAGAGGTGAAACAGCCTGGTTTCCGGCAATGAATTTGTGAAGGCCTCAGCTGAGACCTAAAGCCTTGGCAAGAGCTGGCACCTGGTTTGCCAGTGTCACAATGAGTATTCTTTCAAGTGGACTCCATAGGATTTAACTGAGATAAGATTTGTCATCTCAAGCCATGTCTTCCAAGATTTAAAATGACAATCCTGTTATTATTGGAGGAGATTTTCAAAGACACAAAGAAGATTTAAGTGCCCAGGTCCCCAGCCTCTGAAAACTCTTCCACTGTGATTTGTATGGCAGTAGAACTCAGAAGTGCCAATCAGCTCTGATAGGGGTACTACATGCATACTAAAAACAGACTCAGCTCCAAAGAGTTTCCAGTCAGGCTGATCTAGATCAAAATCTTTAAAAAAGTTCCCAGGTGTCAGACTTTTCCTGACCTGGACAAAGTTAAAAATGTTAAACTTGCCACTGAGTTGTTTTTATTGCTGGAAAATATAATATTTCCCTTCCTTGAATAATACGTACGCCCACAAATACCATATTAAAATTCACGTATTTAGAAAAATACTTTTCTCTCTTTTTGAAAGGAGTTCACTCAGCACAAACAACCTGAAAAGTGTATCCTAGAGATCTAGACTCTTATTGTTCACCCCTATTAAAAAATCTGCAGGAGGGGTCTCAAAGGGAAGAACTCTCAGGGGGGGCTAAGAATATTCTCTTAGCTCCCCCTCCCCAACTTGATGCCTTTGGGGGAAGGGGAGAGGCAGTATTTGCCTTCCCACCATGAGGAAAATATGGTAGGCTCCACCCCCAATCTGACAGATCCAGGGAAAGCCATCATCCACTCAGAGGCCCTGTTCTGAGGCCCTCCTCAATTGCTCCCATCTCCTGCATTCTCTTCCTGGCTCTTTGTCATTACAGCTCCATTGGAACCACATCACCAGGGATTCACCTTGGTCGTGACTTCTCCGAGAGTGACCCAGAATGGAGGTATCATGAAAGAGATAATACAGCCCCAGGGAGAATCTCTGGGCATAAGTGGAAAGATGAAATGCATATCCCCTGCCTATTCCTCTCATGCCTTGCCTACTCTCCACTTAGTCCCCCTGCCATGAATTCATGGAGAGGCCCCTACAGGGTCCAGGAGCATGAGGAACTATGCTGCAAAGGCATCCAATGGCAGGAATGATCTGTTTATGGAGAATCCCCTCCCAGCTGGGACAATCTCACTGTTGGGATTTAAAAGAGAATATCTATTAGGAACGTTTTGATTATTGACAGAAAAGAGTCTTCATTATTTTTCAATAGTTCATCGACAGAGTTTAAACGTATCAAGGGCTGGTTTATTACTAACATCCCCTGACAATACAGGAGAAGTCTTGAATCATAACTTACCTTATTTATGTTGGCCAAGTCACCTTCTTGGTGACAAATCATTAACTAAAGACCTCAAGACTTCAGGCACAAAAGGACACTTCACTAGAGATCACATTCTTTATTTTCCCTCCCAAAAAAACGGGGAGTTCTTCTCACTCCTGAACTCTCTCTGTCCTTCCAATGAGGTAACAGTACAATCAAGTTTGTGCACCGCCATAAGCAAAGCAAAAGATAATGGCTTGATTCACTGGTGCTTTACAGCCCCTTTGACCTGGGTGTGTATGCATGTGCTATGGGGTCAAAAAGTCAGATGATGTGAATACTGCCTGCAGAAAGAGAAATCCCCAGGAGGTACAGAGTCAGTGTAATAGCTCTGTGGCAACCCCCAGCGCAGGGGGCATAAAGAGAATGTGTCTGCATTCTGCCTGTTTCCAATTGCCAGAACTGTCCCTTGGGGTCAAGGTGGCACCTAGCTGTTCCCAGAACAAGGGAAGTGCAAAGAGGATATAAAGCCAGCTTTACCATGCTGCTTCTTCCCCTGCTTTGCATTCTGCACTGAGCAGTGCTAGGGTGGACCAGGGAACCAGGCTCAATGTCCCCAGAGAAACAGCACAATTTCTTCTTGCTGAAAGATGTCCTCCATGACATCAGCCTTCCTACAGTTGCCACCACCACCAGAGTGGATTCACAGGTAACACTGGATGAAATTCTACTCTTAGTTAAACTTAGGCAACTCCACTGAAGTCAATACTCTCCATCATTGCTTGATCTCCATCAGTGCTCTCTTAAGCCAATGGGGATGTACATTTGAAATTGAGAGCAGAATTTGGCCCAGTGTCTTAAAGTCTTTCTTGTTAATTATCAACAAATATTCCTCTCAGTTACATCAATGCAACTCCCCGTTGGCCTTATAACATTAATAAACATTAGCAATCCCTCGTATTTAACCATTACTTTGGTTCTGAGTATATTTTTTAGTTGACAATATTATTAAAGATCCAGTCTGAACTATGTTTTTAATCTTTTTGAAAGTCTACCATGTCCCGAGGCCTGTATCCGATCAAGCTGCTCTTTTACAATTCTGGGTCAAATAATTCAAAACAAAGTGTTTAAAAGACAGAAAGAATGAAAGCAAGAAAGCACAAATTCATTGGGCTCACAGTCAGGCCTTAGGTTAGTATCAGAAGAATATTCTTCTGCAACATACAGGTCTGTTTATGGAGAGTCACAAAATTTAGTAACTCACCTACCCATGAGTCATTTTTAATGGAATACTGTCCATAGGATGAAATGCTAACTCAACTCATGGAAAGATATAGGATTAAAAACAGCTCTACAAACTAAACTTTGGTTTATCTATGTCAGCGTACTTCCCATGAGTATCAGTAATTACTGCTACTCTGACTTACATTTTCTGCATCAACTACAATTGTCTGTTGCACAGTACATAAGTTAACATTTTATGTTTTCAAAGCAAGAACCAAGAAGTTTGAAAGAATAAAGCCTACCCAGTCTGAGCACTGGAGTTTTAAAAAAAAAAAAGTGCAATTATGGTACAAATCATTCCACAAATTACCAATTTATCAAGTATCCTTTAAAGAATTTGCATCTTTCTATTTTGTTTTACACATAAAGTTTCAAGCTGATACTTTCATAGTGGGTGATCTACAAAGGTCTATACAAAGCGATCGGGTGTGCTGGCCGTATAGTATTTTTGGCCTCAGAGGGTTGGCATCCGTAGGCCTTGATTTAGGAAATAGCTCTTTTCCTGAAAGCACTTCAGTACATGCTTAACTTTAAGCACATGCTGAAGGCCCATTGATGTCAAGGGTCTTATGTGCTTATCTTTAAGCATTGGTTTATGTGCTTTCCTGAACTGGGGCCATAAAGATTAATTTTGATGTAGATCAGAAAATCAGACGTACTCTTCTCCTATGTAAACTAGTTGTTGGAATTATTATTATTTATGCAGGGTATATCCATACCACCAATGTAACCATAAATTCCTTTATTAAATCCAAAGGCCAAATGGTATTTATACTAATGCTCTAAACTTGCCTAAAAAATAAAAAAATGACTGCATCCAAACAGTAACAAAACATATGTAAGCATTTGATCAAGATACAAACAGGCTGAACCCAGGGATGCTTAGACCCATATTGGTTGGCTCCAACTTGGTCAGGTGGGTATTAACAACGAACACTTTAACAGTTTACCTTTTTATACCCTGTAACAGAACAAGTGATGTCATGAATAACATGAAGGGGAAAAGAGCCCAGGAGAGCTGGTTATATTTTAAAGAATCCTCATTGAGGTTGCAGGAACAAACCATCTAATGATCTCACAAGCCAACTAATGATCAGACCTTAGCTAAGGTGAAGTTGAAGATGAAGCAGTTTCTTATATAGTCTTTTATTTCCTGCACCTGGTACCCAATTAACCTTGTTTTATTTCTATTACTTCAGCCCAAACCTTAAATAAGAT